TTCCCTAAGTGCAGGAGAATGCTTCCACACCAGGGCTTGATTCCAGCTTCTGGAAAGTGACTCCCAAATCTCAGGCCTCAGTCCTCCCTACACCCTAGTCCTGCCTCTTGGATGCTCTGCTTGTTTTTCTTGATGTCACCTTGAGCCTGATGTGTCTGGAGCAGAAAATGTCCCCTTTGTCCTCAGAATCTGGCCTCCTCACCGTGTTTCCCTTTTCTATTACTAACACCTCACTGGAGATAAACTGCACTTTTGAATTTCCTAGCAGTTTTCTCCCATTGCTGGACATCTTAAAATTGTGGAAGCAGGTTGAAAAAAAAAGGACACTCCAAGGATCAGATGTGTATTTTAGGGAGGAAGCTGGAATTTATCTTTGGGGAAGGCCCCTTCGTATCAGAAGAGATCGGGGACTTTTTCAGTCATGCAGATGTTAGGTGAGTGCCTGCCATCATTTTGGGGTAGATTTTAACTAGAGAAATGTCTCCAAATCCCAGTCGTCAATCCTTCCTAATTAGTAATGTAGATCAGAGTCTCAGCAGCCAGACCCGCCTTCGCAGAAGGTGGTTGGCTTTTCTCCCTTTGATGTGAGTTTACACAGGATTGTTTCTGAGAATTATCGGCTCTCAGGAGATGTCTGCCGGCTCCAACACAGGTTTACCCACAGGATATCATGACTCCAGCCCTGCCGGGAGGTGAGGTGCACAGGCCTGACCTTGGCTTTGCCTCACGTGGAGGACAGACTGTGAGAAGTGGCCTGTGGGTGGCAGGGCCACATGGCCAGGACTGTCAGTATGTCACATGCCACTAGTGAGGGCTGAGTAAGTGGCACTGTGACAGCCCTGCCAAGGCCTTGGGGAGCCCCACCCTGTGGTGGAATGGAAAGTTCTCTGAAGAAAATGGATGTTCCCACTGTTGCTTTCCGGGATGGGAAAAGGGAAGTGGGCCTTGGTGCAGGAAGGAGAGGGTCTCCTTCTGCGTCTGGGGCTGTGGGGTGTGGGAGCCTGAATTCTGGGGTCTGAGGGCAGGGTGAGGGAACCCCATGCGTAGAAAGGGACCACAGATCCCTGGAACGTGGAGAAGATGGGAGGAGGCTGAGAGTGACATGGCAAAGGCCTGGTGTGAGCTGTTCTGGGTGAAAGTCCCCTGGGCACTGGGTCCCTTGTGGGGAGGTGGGCATAGGTATTCATAAAAGCAATAGATAGAAGTCACAAATATTAGTTGACATGGCTGAAATGAAGGCATCTTCATAGATACCCAAGAAAAGTATAGTAACCCATCCCTAAGAGGTAGTAAAAGTAATGCTCATCCGCGTTTACTAAATACTTAGGCCCCGTTTTGTGAACCATAGAAATCACAATTCTCCGATCATTATACCAGAAGAAGAATGCCTCCGAGTTCCTGTAAAATCTGTATTCTGATTGAGGATCGTACAGTGGACTGTGAAATGCTTTGTTCACTAAGTATGTGAACTTAATATACGTTAGTTAATAAAACTGATTTTTTTTTATTTTTTATTTTTTTGCGGTACGCGGGCCTCTCACTGTTGTGCCCTCTCCCGTTGCGGAGCACAGGCTCTGGACGCGCAGGCTCAGTGGCCATGGCTCACGGGCCCAGCCGCTCCATGGCACGTGGTACCTTCCCGGACCGGGGCACGAACCTGCGTCCCCTGCATCGGCAGGTGGACTCTCAACCACTGCGCCACCAGGGAAGCCCCCTAAAACTGTTTTTCAATGTGTTAAAAATTATTTTAACAGATTTAAAATGATTATTTTAACCAATTTAAAATGATTACAGCAGAGACCGTTATAAGGCCCAAAGAGGTGGCTGGTGGAAGACCCAGAAACAGAGGACAGCCTGGCCAGCTGGGCAGGACAGACCGACCCTCCCTGAAATTGCCCTCAGTGTTAACGCAGCGGGACCCCAGGCAGGTACGGTTGGGCTCGGACTACGCTCGATGCAGATTCAAGGAAAGGATGCGCCGGAGTGGTAGGAACTTGGGGACGAAGAGGTTATGTCCGCACTCTGGCATATTCAGGATCACTTTCCGGCTCTCCAGCCGCTAAGCACTGGAGTCACTTGGTCTCTTCTCTTTTCTGGTCACATCCAGCAGCTTCTTCAAGGTCAAAGACTCTGGTATATTTCATCCAGCGCAACTCTGCGAATGATATCTATATGCCTAGCCTCTTGCGCGGGGGTGTGGGCGAGGGTCCTACTCAGCCCTTAAAATAGCTGGCATCTCTCTTACAATCTTCACTGCGGTTAAGGAAAGAAAACTACCGCGGGGCGACTTCCCGCCAGGATGAAAGGCAGCATTTTCGTTTCTGTCTAGCTAATGCTCTTCCCCTCTGCCCAAGCCTTCCTTCCCATCTTGGTTTTCGACACTCATGCAGCAAATAAGTCTGCAACAAAGAACCCCAAACCAATCTCCTTGCTTTCTGAATTTTTTTCCCTTCAGTTTATCCTTGGGCTAGATGAATATTCCGGAAGGACTTGGATTTTGTCACTTCAACGGCCCCGCCCCCTGGAATTCACAGACCCCTTGGCGGTCCTGCTGTATCACCCAGAGCCAACCTCTACCTGGTTCTTCCATTCTGGCTGAGAGGGTTGTCCCATGGGCCTAATGCATCTGGACTCACCGACCTGTGAGCGTTCGCTAGAAATCACCATCCCAATCCTGTCTTTCTGCTTCATGTGCATCCATCATTCAAATCCCATTGTAAGCTCTGCTAGTTTGTAAGCGCAGGTCTGAGCGTTTTTCTTCCTGTTCTGCAAACACGTGGGGAACAGCTCCATGGGGCCAGGGGCGAACTGGGGGCGGGTGGCAGAGAGAACGTCTCAGCATCCGTGCTGGGCCACTCACACTCGGGTGGATGAAGGAGGTGAGCAAGCAGACACCTGCAGCCCTGTGTGGCAAAGGCCACAGCAGAAGAGCACCACAGCTGCAGCACGAAGGGGGCAGGGCGGGGCAGGGCTGGAGTAACGGGTCATGATGCCAGGGAGATAAAAATAAGCTCCTCTGTGTAGGTTTAACAAAGCGCAAAGACCCAGAAATCAACAGGGAGACAGCTGCCAACTTGAGTGTGTCCTGGGCATTCAGGCGGTGCAGGCGCTGCCCTGGCCTGAGTTCATGGCCATTTAGAAGCCAAGGGTTCTTGGGGCCTGTCACTCTGCAGAGAAAACTCCTCTGGGACAGGGGTTCCACGGACCACGAAAGTTTAAGAAAATCCACAGAAAACTGTCCATCCCCACGTTGGCCTTGCTCTGGGAGATCAGGTTTTCTCAGCTGGGTAGTGGGCTCACTAGAAACCTCCTCTTAGGGAAGCTGGGAGGATCCCATGAGCTAACACAGCCTGGAGCTTGGCACATGCTGGCACTCAGGAAATACCCCCCAGGGGCAACACTCAGAAGGGGTCTGCCAGAGGATGATCAGCTATGTTCCTCGGTGTTCTACAGCCTAAGTCAGACCATGGCATGTCCTGTCTTGGGCCCAGGAGGACACTAAGATTTGACAGTGGCCCTTAAGGCCACAGCGCCCCACCCCCTGATGCATTTCTGAGCATCCCTTTCACTCTGTCCACCGGTTCCCTGGCCTCCTCGCTCTCTTTTGAACAAGCCGTGTTGTCTCCTACCTCAGGGCCTTTGCACTGGCCATTCTCTCTGCCTGGAGCGCCCTTCCCATAGGGACCTGCACGCTCACTCCCTCAGGTCCTTCTGGTCCCCACACATCCCCCCTTTATCGGAGAGCCCTCCCCTGAAATAGCCTTTCCTCCGCTTGCCCAGCTTCACTGTTTGTTATAGACGTTATCATCACCTGGATACATTCATCCGTTTATCTTTTACTTCCTGTCTCTCCCAGCAGAATGTGAGCTGCACCAGGCAAAGGGTTTATCTCTTTTGATTAGAGTCATGTTCCCAGCTCCTACAACAGGGCTCACATGCTTAATAAATATTTGCTGAATGACTTCATAACTCTATTTATTTATATACAAGAATATCAACAGCTTGTCTCTGTATCAACATGCATGTCCCAAACCCCTTGTGGGTGCCACATCTTGTGTGGGCACTGGAGGGACAAATGCTGTCCCCTTGAGCAGCTCTTGGTCTGGCTGAGCACAAAGACAGGCAGACATCCAGTGACTATACTTTGTGGAATGCAAAGTGGCAATGAAGTGCCAAGCTTCTGTCTGAGTGTCAAGACTGAAAGGATTTAATTCTGCTCAAGGCAGAGTTGGGAAAGTTTCATGGTGGAAGGGTATTTGAGTGGGGTTTTGAGAGACGAA